AAAATATAATCAAGTCTAATGTTAGTCAAGATCTAATTAAATCCCAAACAATTGAAATGATGAACTAACCTATTTTTGACTATATTATCTGGCATCAATTCAACAAAACCTTTAGTCAAATTTTATCAATGCTTGTTAGTAATCCCAATGATATCATTGAAAGTATTTCTGCCAAAAACGAATGAAACATAGGTTACGAAAAATGATAAGCTAATAACATGCCTCTCCATTACGTATAAATTGATCACCTCTGGCCTGACGACCTGAACTTAATGGAAAATAAGGGATACCAGAGATGTACATATGAATGCAAAGATGAAATATTGATAAATAAAACGATCCTGAAAAATTGCAGAAAATGTGGTAGAAATCTCAGCACAGCAGAGATTACCGTAAATTGTGCCACACGCCTGGAACCTTGAGTCTTTGAAAATGTACGTCTCCTCAGTGATAATAGATTTCCTTAAACAAAGCCTGGTAATGTGGAAAACAACAATATACCTAAATCACATCAAAGGCACCGCCACTTCTAAGCGCCTGAATAGCCAATGAGGAATCTTTCAAACATTGGTCCTGTGCAGCAAGTATAAAATATTTCGTTTTCAGCATTTAACCCTGCACTACGTAGCCACTGATGCTTATAGGGTTTTACATCATCTTGTTTAGTACGGTCAGACTATTGACCGTGAAGCGGTTTTCTCGTCTTCGTTTTTGTATCTGGACGGTTATATTTTCTTTCTTTTTAAAGTGTTTTGCAGCTTCAGTCGTTGTATTGTGCTTTTCTTGCATTTCTACACCATTAGTTGGCTTCCTTTATTAGTGAATAAAATTTCTTACCTCTTTCATTTTCTTTGACACAGATCATCATCCAGTCTCTGTAGTTTCCAGGTATCTTTTAAGGCCAACTGTTTTAATTTTATAGGAATATTCGAGTTGAAATAATCCTCTACCTCCTTCGGATCTAGACACAAATAGACGATCAACATTATTATTATTATTATTATTATTCGTTCTTTTTTATAATCTACTTCATTTGAGTATGCTCTATTCCATCTACTTCGTTAATTCATAAGTATGTATCGGCTTCTTCTTGATTCAGTTCCCTAATCTAGATACATTGAGTGTGTTACTATAATTCTCTCTTTCTTGAATGTTACTTTTGAACATTTATCTAATCCAAAATCCACACCTATGCCGTCAGTGCAACATTTTAAAGCATTGAGGAGACCCTTCAACACATTGTCAACTTTGGCAAAGAGTTTGAGATCATCCATTTAGAGTAGATGATTGATTCCTTTAGTTTTTATCCATAGCTATTATTGTTTTGTTAATGAGTAAGAGAGATTAAGGACAGGCAAATTTCCATGTGCGCATACTGAAAAATTGTGGCAGCCTAAAATGCAGATTCTGCGATAAATATCCAGAAACAATTGACCGTCTTGTATCAGGTTGCGCGGTAATGGCATCCACTGAATATAAAACCGGGCATGAGAGAGTGGGCCAATATTTGCATTGGAAAATCTGCAACGTTTACGGAAAGGGAACTGCAAGAAATTAGTATGAACACCACCCAGACTTGGTTACGGAGATAGGTCCTATAAACAATTTAATATAATCGACCAGATACAGAAACGATGGCAGGATAAACCTCATCACAGTCAATATTCAGACCGTTCCAAACAAATCTGTGTAGACAAACCCCATACCCATCATTGGCTAGCTAGTGCAGGGTTAAAAGCTGAAACTGAATGTTTTTTTTCTTGCTGCACATGAACAGTTCTTGCTAACTAGAATTTACTAAGCATGCATAATGAATAATTATGTTAATCGAAAATGCAGATTCTGTGATAAATATCCCGAAACAACTGACCATCTTTATCATGATAAACGGTAATGGCACCCACTGAATATAAAATACGGCATGACAGAATGGACCAATAAGTGTATCGGAAAATCTGCAGCTTTTACGGAAAGAAAACTGTCAAAAATTGATATGAACACCACCCAGATCCGGTTACAGAGATAAACCTGTAACCATTTTATGGTATTTTACAATACACACAGACAAAACAATCAAAGCTAAACGTCCAGACATCGTGATCAGAGACCACAAAGAGAAAATGTGCCTTCTTGTTAACATGAAGTCCCTGCAGATTCTAATGTATCTTTGGAGATCTTCAAAAAGTTATCAAAATACATTGACTGTGAAATGGAAATCACAAAAATGTTGCCCATAAGGACATCAATATCCCCTGTTGTAGCTGGAGCCCTTGGATTTATTAGAAATAATGCCAGTAAACTCATTGAAGTGATTCCTTGTAACTCATACCTTAAATAAATACATAAAAAGTTTACTCACATGTACAGTCCAGGCATTACGAAGTTCTTTATCTATGTAAAATATGTGTGGTATTAGATTTTCGTAATTTGTTCTCTGTATTTATTTTTGTATTTTTTTCTGCTCAGTAGAAAATATCATGATGTCATTTCTGACCTCAAAACATGTACTCACAAGTATAGCTCAAACATTAAGAAGATCTTTGTAAAATATGCGTGATCTTACGGATTTTCATTACAAAAATTAACAGTGGAAAATATCATCAAGCCATTTCTGAGATTAGCTCTCTGATTGGGACCCGGAATGAAATGCGTATACCACAGAAAGTTAAAGCTATAATAATAATAATAATAATAATAATAATAATAATAATAATAATAATATTTACACTGGGCAATGTACAAACATTTTGGAAAAGATGTTAATAAACACTGCTATGAATATCGTCCATCACTGGTTACAGAAATAGAATATATCACAATTCTATGGGATTATAGCTTCTTTACAGACAGGAAGATTAAAGCAAATAGTGCGGACATAATTGTTAAAAAGCTGAACAAAAAAAAAAAAAAAAATTGCCTACTAATTGATATGTCTTGCCCAGCGAACTGTAACATGGGAACCAAGGAATTTGAAAAACTATCGAAGCATAAAGACATGGAAATCGAAATAGGAAAATGTGGAAATTGAAAACAAGAATATTACCAGTCAATGTAGGTGAGCTTTGGAACACATTGAAAAAGTTCCTGAAAAAGATCAGACCTACCAGTCTAATAATACACATAAATTCCTGAGGTCGAGTTAAGAAAGAGGAAAGAAAGAGGAAGTGTTTCCATGAAAATATCTACAGAAAAAGCAGAGTGAAATAAGGTAACGGCTGTGGGAAAGTGACTCGAGTAACGATGCCACGTCAGGACAGATAAGGTTGCTCATCCTTATTGGCCAGAATCTTGGGATAGATAGCAGGAGCGGCAGACGGGATACCGTTGAGAAAAAATTGTCTGACACGACACGGTGAACCAACTTTCCTAGCGGTTGACCTAGCAGTTGATTCAATATAATCATTCCACTTCATCTCAGTGGAAAACGTGACATTAAGAAGGCGTAAAGAATTCTTGCGCTATCGAAGGCGAACATTAGACATATCGAATAAAGGAAAAATGGTTCTCTTTGAGTATAATTTTATCTTGGAGTAGAGTTAGCATTACTTTTATTTATTTCAAATTTATTTTCCTTTTTTTAAAATTTACTTACCTTCTGGAAGGCCACTTTTGATATTGTTATACATTTTTGAATACCTGTTCCGTTGTCTGTTTTAAAACGACACAACTACCAAAATGTGTGTACCCATTTGAGGATTAGGCGACATAATGTTCAGTAGCTGGCCTCCGTACGATCACAAGAGTTAAGCAACGTTGAGGCTGGTCAGTAACTAGATGTATGCCCGTTCGGGAATACCAGGTGCTGCAAGCTTGGGTGTATGTGTGGGTGTAAAGGATATCCTTAAGCGGAGAACCGAATTCCAAATCTTGTTGGGTTCGTTCGATTCATATACCCCCATGGGAAAGGTAGAAATCCATTTCTCTTTTGGCTATGTGTTAATTAATAAGAATTATATTACTAAATCATTATTTGCTCAAAAACAAACAAACAAACAAAAAAACAAACAACTTGCAATCCGAAATTATTTACTGGCTTTAAATAACATGCAAAGAGTTGATAAACCGTAAAAAAGGAATCGATCAATTAATGTACACAATTTAATTTAACCTCTCCAATATATATTTCACATTTTAGACTGCCTCTTTTGTTGATAGCCATAGTTTCGAAAATTACATAAAATAAATATCGTAACTTTACTTCATTCTTTGCTTTCTTGACAGAAATGATTAAGCATCTGTCTATATTTATTACAACGTTTCAGCCGTTGTACGCTCCGGCCTTCTTCAGGTGGTTGGAATATCGAACTGGGGTACACTGTTCTAGGTCCACGTGCCACGTTTAATGGATGTTAATTACTCTCTCCAACTTCTCCACTGTCTTAACCGGGTATTGAACTCACACTCTTTGGGTCCTGTCACTGGATCTAACCAACGCCTTTATCCACTGTGACATGTGACCTTGAGGACATCAGTGTACGAATGTTTGCGTATTATAAACCTAATGACTTCAACAACCATTTTTTACCAGAGCTTTAACCAGTTGCAATTTTTGTTGTTATCATTGCATTTTTTGATTGCAATTTTTGTTGTCATTATCGCTTTTCTCTGGCCCTCTTTATTACTAGTTCCCATATTGTATACATTTCTAGCTCAGGAGATTTTTGAAGCATTCGAAATTTCGAGAGTGTTAAAGTAATTAAAAATGCATTCCTAGATAAGAGTTTTATTTTATAATTACAAGAGTAACTTTAAGAAATCCTATATTCTCATTTCCTTACGTAGGCAAACTCTTTTGAGTTAAGACTTAAAACAGCTGCTAAATCGAAAAATCAATAAATGTAAAATTAATTCTTAAAAAAAATAAACTAATTATGCCATTGCTACTTGGTTATAAGATTAATGTCTGAGTCTTTATATTAGTCGATATTTCTCACCTAATTATGAGTTTCTTTTATGTGAATAATTTGTATACTTTAATTATAATTTACCAATAAAATAACATGAAATATCTATCTATCTGTCTTTGTGTCTATCTATCTAATTATCTATCTATTTATCTATCTCAGTCGGTTCATCACTTTTCTTTTAATATCTATCAGTCTCTTCATATCTATCTATCTATCTATCTCATAGTTTTCATATATTTCTCTTTCTTTAACTCTCTCACAGTCTCAACCTCAATATAATGACACAAACAAGTGCTTTCTTCAATTATCAATCTGATCTCATCTATTCGTTTCATTTATTATTATTATTATTATTATTATTATTGCTGTTGTTTATTTATTTACTTATTATTTCATTTCATAAGATGTGGGCTGTACTCGTTAGAACAATGTTTTTGTTTTTCTTTAAGGCGTGTGCTGCCAGGAATCCTTTCAATGTGTCTATTGCAATCTTTTCCACTCAATCCGAGGGCTCCAACTAAAACTGGACTTGTTGATATCCTCATATGCCTTATTTTGGAGATTTCGTTTTCAAGGTCTTTGTATTTTCAGAGTTTGTTTAAGATTTTCAAAGATACATTAAAATCTGCAGGGACTGCCATGTCAATAAGAAGGCACGTTTTGTCTTTGCAGTCTCCCAGAACGATGTCTTGGCGATTAGATTTGATTGTTCTGTCTATGTGTATTGTAAAATCCCATAAAATTGTTACAGGTCCTATCTCCATAAACAAGCCTCGGAGGTGTTCATACCAATTCCTTGCTGTTTCCTTTTCGCAAAAGTTGAAGATCTTCCAATGCAGATATTGGCCCACTATATCAACCCGGGTTTTATATTCAATGGATGCCAGTACCACAAAACCCGATTTAAGATGGTCAATTGTTTCTAGATATTTATCAAGGAATCTGCATTTTGTTCTAACACAATATTTCAGTATGTGTGCTTGGTAATTTCTACTTAGCCAACTTTAGTCCTGTGCAGCAAGAATAAAACCTTCGGTTTCAGCTTTGAAACCTGCGTTATTTAGCCACTGATGGTTAAGGGTTTTTCTACATCAACTTGTATTGACCGTGAAGCGGTTTATCTTGTCATCATTTCTCTATCTGGTCGCTTGCATTTGCATTTTCTTTCGTTTTTAAGCATTTTGCATCTTAAGTCAGTGTACTGTGCTTTACTTGCATTTCTACATCCATTTGAAACTCCATTTTGAACTTCTTGGCTTCCTTTATTACTGAATAAATTTGTTACTTCTTCCATGCTATTTGACACATACCAGCATACAGTTTTCTGTAGTTTCCAGGTATCTTTTAAAGCCAATGTTGTAGATAGTTCTAGTTAAACAAATCCTCTGCCTCCTTCGGATCTGGACACATAGAGACGATCAACATCAGCCTTGGGATGATGTATGCGGTAACAAGTGAGAAGCATTCTCGTTTTGGCATCTATTCGGTTAACGTCAGCTCTGGTCGAGTTATGGATGTTGAAACTGTATTCCATCACAAGGAAGGCCAATGGGTTTATGGCTGATTTTTTAAAAATTCAGCTCAGTATTCATTACCAGATGCACACGCTTGTAGTACTCCTTTCTTATCATCTTCTTCATTTGGGTATGCTGTATTCCATTTACTTCGCTAATTCATGGGTACCTGTAGGTTTCTTCATGCTCATTTCCCTAATCTTTGTGACAAAATCTAAATCTATTGAATGTGTTTATGTAATTCTTCCTTTCTTGATGTTACTTTTGAACATTTATTTAATTCGAAATCCACACCGACGTCGTCAATGCAACATTTTACAGTATTGAGGAGACCCTTCAACTCATTGACGACTTTGGCAAAGAGTTCGAGATCATCCATGTAGAGTGAATGATCTAACAATTTCTTGTTTACTTTGTAGCCATAACTATTATTGTTTAGTTCATACGCAGACAAAACAGAAGGGGTGACAGGGAGACTCCTTGAAAGCTTCCTCATTTGGTATTCAGGCGCTTAAAAGTGGCGGAGCCTTTGATGTGATTTAGGTATATTGTTGTTCCACATTACCAGGCTTTGTTTAAGGAAATCTATTATCACTGAGGAGACGTACATTTTCAAAGACTCAAGGTTCCAGGCGTGTGGCACAATTTACGGTAATCTCTGCTGTGCTGGGATTTCTACCACATTTCCTGCAATTTTTCAGGATCGTTTTATTTATCAATAGTTCATCTTTGCAATCATATATATATATATATATATATATATATATATATATATATATATATATATATATATATATGGTATCCCTTATTTTCCAGTATAAGAATATTGTTTTCTTCGAGAAAAGATTAAGTTCAGTTCGTCAAGACAGAAGTGATCAATTTATACGTGATGGAGAGGCATGTTATTAGCTTATCATTTTTTCGTAACCTCTGTTACATTCGTTTTTGGCAGAAATACCTTCATTGATTTCAATGGGATTACTAACAAGCATTGGTAAAGTTTGTGTAAGTGTTTTATGGATTGTTGACAGATAATAGAGCCAAAAATTGATTACCTCATAATTTCAATTGTTTGGGATTTCATTAGATTTGCCTAACATTGGACTTCATTATATTTTCCCGTTCATGTAGAGGTTTATCTATCATTCGTTCTTCGCGTCGGAGCCGCTTTTGTATTAGAGTTATATTCCTTTGTGCAGATTTTCTGCCTTTTTCAAATAGATGGTGGCTTTATATATATATATATATATATATATATATATATATATATATATATATATATATATAACTTTTTTCTAATTTCCCTGTAAAATCTCTTCAATAACTTATTTTTTTCAAATAGGACCTACAGCGCTTTTCGTATCGTCTTCTTCTCTATACATTTTTGTTTTAGTATTTCCATTAGTGGCGAAATTTCATTTAGTAATTTAATTTTATATCACCGCATGTTTCTTTAATTCTACCTTTCTTGAATGTTACTTTTGCACATTTATCTAATCCGAAGTTCATACCTATGTCGCCACTGAAGTATTTTACAGTACTGAGGAGACCCTTGAACTCATTGTCGTTTTTCCAAAGAGTTTGAAATCACCCATTTAGAGTAGGTTATTGAATATTTTCTTGTTTAGTTTGTATCCGGAGACATTATTGTTTAGTTCATGCGTAAGAGGGATTAAGGACAGGCAAAACAGAAAAGGTGACAGGGAGTCTCCTTGAAAGATTCCTTGTTGGATATTCAGACGTTTGGAATGGTAACGCCTTTGGCGTGATTCAGGTATATTGTTGTTTTCCGCATTCCAATGCTATGTTTAAGGAAATGTATTATTACCGAGTTGACTTTGTACATTTTCAAAGTCTTAAGTTTCCAGCTGTGTGGCACAATATTAAAGGCTTTACAGTAAATCTATCGATGCTGTACTGAGATTTCTATATATTATGTATTCCATAATCATTTTTTATCCGTACTTGATCTTTTCAATCACATGAACCACTTCAGCATCCCTTCTTTTCCAACGGAAGAATGTTGTTTGCCTCGAGAAAATAATATACACAGAATTGATTAATTTATACCTGATGAATAGACATGTTATTAGCCTATAATTTTTCGGATCATCTGTTTGACACGGCTTTGGCAGGAGAAATGTAATGCCTTCAGTGATCTATCCTGAGACTTACTTGGGATTATTAATTGCTAGTGTTTTAGCAAGAGTTTTATGGATAGATGACAGATAATCTCGCCAAAAAGTTGGTCAGCTTGTCATTTCTTGTGGATTTCCATTTTTGGGACTTCGTTAGAGCTTGCCTAACATTAACCTTGGTTATATTTTCCTATTCTTGTAGAGGTTTATCATTATTCGTTCTTCTTCTTCTCATTGGATCCACTCTGCATTGGGGTTAAATTCCTTTAGGCTGATCCATATATTCTCCCAATATTTCTGCACCTTTTCAACAGATAGTGGCTTTTTGACATTTATAACTGCTTTTCCAAATTCCCTGTAAAATATCTTGAGGTCCGTTTCGAATAGTTTATTCTCGCGACAGAACCTACAAAGTTTTTCGTATCGTCTTCTTCTCTGTGTCTTTAACTGCAGTTTCTGTTTGAGGATTTCCTTCATTACTGAAATTATATTTAGTGATTTAATTCTATATTTTCCCTTGATCTTCTTGCATTTTTGTGTTAAGACATTTAGGTTTCTTGAAATATCATCTATAATCGATATGTCAAATATGATTTCCTTTATTTCTCGCATCCTTTTTGCCTTCAAATTCGGTTCCTTTTGTCGTTTGATCTTTTCGTTGTCATGAACCCCAAACTTCCCTGTAGCTGGTAAAGCTGTTGCGTATATGAAATTATTAACCTCTGTGATGTTTTCAAGTGTTTCGTCCGTTAACAGTGTTTGCAGTGCAGCGTTGTATATTTGCAAAATGTGCTTATTGGACTTTCTCATATGGATTCTTATGAGCTGATCTCTGTCTGATATTTGTGTGGTAGTTACTCTGTTGAGTACTTGGATGATGTTGGTTTTCGCTTCGATGTTGATTTCAAGGAATTCTATCTAATGTATTTGGACTCGTCTACAATGGCATAGTTTGGATAACACTAGGTTATATCACAGGCAAATTCTTCGTTCGCATTTCGTAGGATATTATTATTTCGTATCTCATTTATTTTAGATTTTACCTCATCGTCTGTCATATTAATTATTTCTACTCCTATATCTTTATTGTTTGAGTGATTGTATTTTGTTTTATATCTAGTTTTATGCTTCACAGGATGTTCCTGCGGGCATTGACAAGCGTTTTGGGGTTGAAATGGCGTTTTATTCCATCTCCTACCATTTCATATTTAGTATGCCTGATCTGTGATTTTCTTTTTCTGGATTTTCGAGTGCGGTGAAAAAGAATGTCATGAATTGTTGATACTCTTCGTGAGGCCATTTCGTTCCCTTCCTTTTTATCAGCTGAATTGGTATTGAGTAAATTGGTTCAAGGTTGGAAATAGTCTGGGTTTGGTGACCAAATATCTCTTCGTTGTTGGACAGTTCTTTCGACTCCAAACTGGTTCCTCTCTGAGGTTCGTGGCCCTTATCAACCCGGCTGACGACCGTTCCGGCCTGAGTATTTGTTCGTAATCATTGAGATTCGTAATGTTTTGCGTTTTATCCTTGACCGCCAAGGGGCAACGTTGTTCAAGTTGCAATCTCTAGGACGAGTGTCGATCGAGACTAAAGAGCTTGTCCTACCCAA